TCTTCCGATCTGATATCGGCATGAAACCGCGAGGCCTAAGGCTTTAGATGTTAAAGTCACCAAGTTAAAACGTGTGAGTGCTGATAGGCTACGGCATAAAAGCCGTTAAGCTGAGAGGGTAAAAGCGGCCCTGGTGGCGTAACGGATAGCGCACTCGCCCGGAAAGCGTGAGGTGCGGGTTCGACTCCCGCCTGGGGCACGACTTTTGCCACAACTCAGCATTCTTGTGATAACATTCGGAACGCGTACTGCGGCGTTAAACAGCAGTTATCATAACAAAACAGCTTCAAAAACATCTAAAGCCTTAGGCCTCGCGGTTTCATGCCGATATCACATCGATTTATACGGCCTGGCCAGCGTCTCACCAATGTTAAAACGGAAAAAAACGTGTGAGTGCTGATAGGCTACGGCATAAAAGCCGTTAAGCTGAGAGGGTAAAAGCGGCCCTGGTGGCGTAACGGATAGCGCACTCGCCCGGAAAGCGTGAGGTGCGGGTTCGACTCCCGCCTGGGCACGACTTTCTTGCCCAACAACTCAAGCGTTCTCCATGTTGATAACATTCCGGAACGCGTACTGCGGCTGTTAAAACATGCAGTTATCATAACAAAAATGAGGCCAGAGTCCGTCTCCTGAGGGGGGTAGACATTTCGGAGCACATTCAACGAATCTTTCGATATTTTTCAGACATTTAAGCAAACACCTGCTATAAGTGGTGCGGCTCACATCGAGGCATAGACAGAGCTGAGACATTTTTCTTAGCTAGTTGAACTATACATTTCGTCCCCTCTATCGGTTGGTTGAATTCCTCTCTGATGGTAGGCACATGATCCGTTCCTCCGAATTGTTGCACTCGCATCGAGCTGCTTTATGAGTCTGAATGTCTTGAGTGCTTGCTACATTACTTCTTCTACAAGCGGTGTCTTTACTGCGAAAGGGCGTTTTTAGCGCTCACTCGAGAAGAAGAGATGCACAAAATGGAACGGGATTGAGGTGAGCGGCGGCGTCATTTCCCGTCACTGTTTATCACGTTCTTTGCTCATGGATAGGGCCAACAAGTAGCCTAACTTTCGTTGTTAAATGAAGCATGCATTCGTCCCCAAGGTGACGTCTGCTGTGGAAAAACAACGGGAAATGAAGTGAAATGAAGTGGAAGCACTGGCGAGAGACTCAAATAGTGGAGCAATAACTATCCCATCGGGAGCTGTTAGTTTTTGCAAGATTCGATTTTTTCAAGATTTATTTTTCAAGAACTTTCCTGATATATCTATACTCGATACAGTAAACAAATCCTATAAGGATGCCATGTGGCACACAATGTATCAGGGCTCTTTCAAATATTGTCGCCCGCAGTATGAAATGCCCAGGCACATTGTGGACCACGTTGACTTTGATTTTGATTCTTTAAGATCTAAACCCATCTCACTTACCTAAGATATTATTGCAAAAATAAAAAAGCTTACCATACCTCACCAATGTCGTGGTTATCGGCGAACGTAAAGAAAAACCAGGCAGTGTGGTCAGAGTTGAATAACACAGGATGAGTGAAAAGTATGAAATAGAGAGCGTAGCAAAACGGAATCAGCAGAACAACATAGGTACGGGCGCCAGCGAATAGCTGAATTTGAAAGGATTTTTAATGTTGTTCAAGTGTCCATGAAGCCATTGAAACGATGGTCATCTGTAGGTGTGTAGGGAAGAATCTGATGAAAGATGAAGCTTGCACTATCCATCAGTCCCTTTCTTATTATGCGCTATACTCTACTCGCTCGTAATAGCATTTCAAAGGCCCCATGAGCTAGAATCATTTTTCTGTTCTACTACACATGTCTGGTTCCCATTTCTCGGTTCGCGAGCGACAGAAGGTGGAAGCTAGAGTAGGATCCTCTTTAAGACTTCACTCTTAGTCATGCACGTGGTTATCAGCAGTAATCACCACGAAACTCCTGTCACTCAGAGCGATATGAACAACCGAGGAACGAGATAACGAGGTGTAAAATCAGGTGCGTTCACTGACAGTGTGAAGTAGTATCCCAAAAGGACACTGAAGCGTTGAGCCTCCACCCTCTTGCTCACACTGGGAGGTAATGTGGTGGCGGTTGCAGTCTCTTAGAAAATGATTCGGAACGGAGATCTCACAGTGCTGAATGCTGGAACTTATTGATGCCAGAATTCATATGATCAGGGTCTCTTCAGAATCGAAGCAACGTTTTGTGCATCTACCCGTCTATTTTTATGCATTGTCCTACCACTGAGACAGACATTCTAGCGAAATATAGTGCTTAACACACGCGCAGTCGTGAGAGTGAAGCCTCAGGTGGTCTCCCGCTCGCCTCTGCCAAGTCTTCGTCTCTTTCAGCATCGATATGTGTGAGTACTAGACTGGCACTTGCAATTTACGATATGGGCGATTCACTGTATCGCATACACAGTGCACCAGTACTGATGTTACAAATATTTATCAGATTTCTCTGGAAGTGGCTGTTCAGCTGTAAATTGCTTACCATCTGCATCACCTGCTTGTTCCAAAGGTCAAGCAGTCGATTGATGACTAATACTAGACAAATCATGCATGCACCACACCATAGACCTGAATGTATAGAACTCGCGATGAATATCTTGTCTAAAATCACCACTGACTCCTTTCGAATCTTTATTTTCATAAAATTTTTTCCCTGCTCCTAACTTTGGCATGTGACGCTTTGGCTCCGCCAAACTTCACCATGTGAAGTGGTCAAAACAGACACAGACGACGGCAGATCCTGATGAGGAAATCGGCCTCGTATCGTTATGATACCAACAAGTAAGAATTCGCTTAGGGATCCGCCATAATTATGGGTTCAGGAAGATAGGCTTCTATACTGTGCCGCAAACGGCTCGCGAATGTTCTCGGGTCGAATTGAGTGCGGAGAAGAAGCAGTCGCGCACAAAATTCTCCACCTAAGGAGTCTATAGTAAGTGAAAACGCTGAATTAGCGTCGCTTTCGCTTCTTGGCCTCATAACAGAGCTGAGAACCCTTTTCTGACACGCCCCAGCGTCCGCAGCGAAAATGAGTGTCTGATGCCGAATCAGATAGTGTCCTTTTAATGCCGAATCCTTTAAAATGGATCCCTCTTCCAGAGAAGGAACCCCTGCCAAAGGAGACTGATATTCGTCCTGGTATACACTACAGGCACGTACAGTCTGAACTTTTCTTCTAGCCCTTGCTTCATTTCATTTTTCCTTCTTCATGATAAAGCTTTTGGACCAAGCCTGACATTAGAAGAAAAATACCTACCGAGCCCGGCTGCTCCAGTGAGGAACATCAGGAGAGGCATCATGCAATAATTAGCTCCAGTCAGCCAGAAATATCCAGTCAGTAACGAGTTCACTCCGATCGCACACATGTCGTATAGGCCTTGAGATTATTCTGTAGGTTTCAGATATGTAATATGTGGGAAAATAATGTCACACAATCGAGCCGATTTTTTAGGGCTGCAGACTTTCCGAAAAGGTTTGTGGGTGTGAGGTGCTCAGGTTATCCGCAGAAATGCATGTACTTTTTGCTCTTTCGCTTTCCAAGAGATGCTCGGAAGGAAGAGCTCGGATTTGAATGACAGCTCGCTTGACTGATCTTCCACCCTTCGATACATTACGCACAGAAATTCACTGGGGCCAAGGGTCGTTCGCGCGCGGGATGCTCGTCCTGCACGCCTCTATTCGGTCGATAGTATTTGGCGCGTTTTACTCAAAACCGCCTCTCCATTAATATCGGCCCTCTCCCCTCATAGAAGAGCGGTTATTCAAAGTGACAATAATTGTACGCAATTACCCTTGCAGCAGCAGTCTTTGCGTATGACTCAGCAGTACACTTCGAGTCAGGGAGCAGCTCGGACTATTTGGGTGCATACCATCAATCCCATTCGGGTATAGCGCACAAATTAGTAGGGTGCGTCCCTCCTGTTCGCCTGCACAACGCAGAACTGCTACCACCGCGCACATGATCCCGCACTCGCGGCTCAAGACTGCTGTGATGCGGCGCCTAGCCCTTGACGCTTATCTATCCTATATTAGTGATCATTATCTTTTTTCTACCTGATGTATATTATGTCTCTATATATGATGTGAAGTATGCCCACAAGCCCGTTTTTCCACATTAGCGTCACATACTTTCGATGTGGCTCCGCTTCTCTACACACTACTATCGGTGCGTTGCGCCTATCAGCCTCTTGCCACCGGCTAGCGAAACAACCCCCAGCGCCAAGCGAACAATGTGCTTGTCTCTACATCTGGGACTTCCTCGCTCGGAGTTTGTGACCAAAGTCATCGGTATCTTTCGATCTTGCTGCAAAGACTTTTACTTGACGTGATCGTGTGTGACAGCACAGCATGTGAAGAACCTTTTTACGAATATTTTCACGATTGAAAAAAAATTCTCTGGTCGGTGCATACGTTGGAAAATATATGAGGAAACATAACTAAGCGCAGCAGTCATAATTTCTGTTAGCACGACAGTCGACTCGCAGTTACTGTTTCTCGGAAGAGATGACCTCTGCTAACACTCAAAAATATACAAATTAAGCTGAGAAATTCTAGCTCCCTTTCTAACTGAACATCTATTTTTCAATTTACTATAATATCTAGAGAAGCGACTGCAACAGAAGTCTAATTTTTTCGCTTCAGTCATTTGTCTGATAAGCCTGACTGTGGGTATCATCAAGCTGAGAAAGGTCCTCTGAACTGATGCTCACAAGTGTTGCAGCTGATCATAGCAGGTCTGCCTACTATGGCCAAGCTGACCTCAGTCTAGGACTGTTAATTCTTATAGTTGCCTGTAACTCCTTATCAGATCGTTAAATATGGCCTGATCCTATTTTCCGGAGCACCTAGCCTTGGATCAATACACCGAAGCACCGACGGGATCAAAATCCCGCAGAGATTCCCCAAGGCAACTATTCGCACGCCGAAGCTCTTAAGTCAAGTCGGCCGATCTGCGTAAACATTTCACCTCATTAGACACAACTATGAGTGCTGAGCTACAAATAATTTAATTTACATTAATATTGACAAAGGAGCATTGTCTGAACAACCGACAAAGCTAGCCGTGCACACCATGATCCTCAAGCCTCCCGCTGCCGTATTCCCTCCCCCTCGCCGACGCTCAGATGATTGCAAGCTCATTACGATAAACTGCACTTGCGGGCTTTTTACCGATGTTTGACGTCTTCGGGTACCTCGAGATTGCAACGGCCATTTACCAGTTATTAACATTTCTCGCGTTTACCAGAACAGAGAGTGAGACTATAGCCATTATCAGTTGAAGTAAATCGTAATGATGGTGTCTTTTCCATTAGAAGTATGTTACCAGAACAGCTGCAGCTATCGCCACGATTTTTTAACACCCCTTTGCTCCACTACTGCTCCAGAATCGTTTAGCAGAGCCACCTTTCCTCTGTTCGAGTAACAGTTAAATTGGATGGTAGTCCCATTAGGGAAAGTTACAAAAAACTGCCAGTACTGCAGGTTCCCCTCACCCTTTTGCAGAACTATGGAGCGACGCGTTTACAAACGCGCTCGCTTCGGCGAAGCTGTATTTTTGTGAAGCGGTGCCGTTCTCTGATCCAGTGAGTGAATTCATTCTTTAATCCGCCACGCTTACATGCCTTTCACGCACACGGTTGGTTGAACAAGATCCTATATCAAGCCCGCGCACAGCCACGCCAAATAATGCGGCTGACAGGACCCTACCGATTCTAACTCGATGCATGGATGTTTATAAAGGGTAAGTTCCCCATACAGGATTGGCCTATTCTCGTATTCCTGGCCTCCATCCCTTGGAATCCTTGCTTTACACGATTGGCACCCCACGTGCGTCAAAGCGACCCGATTTTTTCCGATTCCCTGAAGATAGTAACGTCTCCTGAGGCGATGGCCTAGTGTAAAATAACAGTTTTTCGGGGCCCACCTTTTCTTTTATCTGAATGTTTTCAGAAGCCCTGTAAGACGGAACCATCCATCGGTCCAGGACTCTCATCATTAAAGCTTATATTTGAATTACGACATCTTACACAAAAGCCACCCTTGGCGAATATATAGGTTGATCGCGTGGAGGATCTGTCACACCTTTCTGAACTCACCTCACTAACTTACTCGCACCATCACCGATGAACTCACACGTGTGCATCGATAATCAATCAGCTAGGAGACGAATTGAAAAATCGGTTACCATTTCGGGTCACTACCTTCCTAAACGCCCTTCGCTCTTGAAAGCTGACTTCAACCACCAGGTGGATTTTGAGCCTCTCGACGTGCAGATGCCAAAGCCGAAACAGCAGGACGGAGGACTATGCATAAGGTTGAATTGCCTTATCCGAGCGCGACCGCGTTCATTTAGCGCGACATATCATCATCGACCGCTAGTGCTTCGAGCGCAGAGCTTACACTTTTGGAAGAACGGAATGAGTTTGATGTAAATAAAAACTCTAGCTTAGGGATCTGTAAACTCGTCGGCAACCTCTGACCTGCTTTCCACCGATTAATATCACCGGCTCGGCTGGAGATTTGGATCGCGTACACTCGGCGTCTATAAGGGGGGGGGGAAGTTTGTCCACACAATCCTTCTTCAACATGCTGGACACTCCACCCAACAACTCCAAAAAATCCAAATACTATGAAGCTTCTACGCACACTGGTAGACAATATGATGCTCTCTAGAGCAGTTTTTCCCTTTATAGTTTTTTTGCATGCTGAATTCACATTTCTTGACGCGAAAATATGTCACTCGTGAAAAACCTAACTTGGTTTTTTGTTCTGAGCAGCGAGCGAGGCTCTGATCTGTTAACATTAGGAAGTTCCCCCACTTGGTCTAACATGGGTTTTTTTCCTGGTACTGTGAATTATCTACATGCTACAACTCCACTATCAAAATGAAGACCTTCTTAGAAGACCTTCTTGGTCCCCCTCTTGGGCCTTACAATTAGTGCATAAGAACAACAACGATAAACAGTAAGGACACACATTTCTGCTGCGCCGTCTCAAGGACTGTCTACAATTTTCGCGATTTCGTACTCAATGTCCTGAACACTCCTATTTCTCTTGGAAGAGCAGTAGGTGATATGATGAGTGGGATTGAGAAGTATCCTAATGTTCCTTACATGCAATCATAGTTGGCCACGTTTTCGGGATCTCCACCAGCTTTTATGAGCCACTCCATGTTCGTCTTCGAGAGGCAACTCCTAAACGAAGTTTCTGTGAGCACAAAACAGATAAGGGGGAACATCATTGTGATGTAGACGAACGTCAGCCTATATCGCTAAACAGCTGGCAGTGCATAACAGCGTTGAAGTGTCTCAAATCAAGTTGTTCACCTCAACAATGTTCTTCACACTACAACGCATAGAGCAGTAGAAAAGTTTACTCAAAAAATATCCGCCAACTATGTGAAAAAGAGTCCTTAGTGCGTCAGACACAAGCTGTACGCTTAGTTGTAAGGACAGTTCTTGCTATGTGCAAGGTGGAAGGGTCTGAACCTGTAGTAGCGTGCACATTCTCCGCTCAAAAAGGCACAGGAACGGTGCTGGAGGGTGGCGAAACCAGTGTGTCACTTCAGGATTTCCTTAAGGTGGAGCACTCGCATCAATATCAAAATTCTGCAGCGAACACGCAGTGTAAGGTAGAGAAGAACCAGAACCGAGAGGGCGCTGACAAGTAGAGCGTCTGGTCATAGTTAGGCATGTGGCAGATCGTGCGCCGGCAGGAGCTGAGTCCGAGAACACCACTACCTTTAGCTTTGTTTCCGTGCACTTTTGAGCAGAGAAAGTGGCACGCTAGTGCAGCTGAGGATCTATTCACCTCACACATGGCACACAACGTAAGGACCAGGACTCACCGAGTTGAAGGTACAGTCTTTTAATTTGCCTTGCGCCTTGGGCTGGATGGGGGGGGGGCGTAATCCATTTTGTTATCGTCCCTCGGGCTTATGAGCAGCTAGGGAAACAGTCGCCGTCGAATGATCAAATTATCATACGCCTACTCTCTGCATTTCTGCAGCTTTCGATAACTCAGCTGTTGTCTAGGACATTCCGGAATTCACCGGTGAAACCATTAAAAGAAGCAGCATAGCTTCAACGAATTGATCCCTTTGGTAACGTGTGCAGGTTAAAAAAAGCAGTGATAGCATACACTCGTTTTCCCCTGAACGGAGTGGTCGTGTCATTTGAACATGGCATCTAATGGGTTAATCATGGGACTTTTCCATTTGAAACGACTGTCATCTTGTTCAGAGTGGGACAGAGACATAACCACAATTGTCTCAAAATGAAAATATCTCACCAAAAGTACAGCTACCGCCACGCTAAGCTGAGGTAGCGCTTACCACATATTAGGAAATCCTATCTTAAGAGGATGT